TCTATAGTTTGTTATTCAAAAAAATGATCAACAAAAACGTCAAATTTTGATCAGTTGTCTCTCTATGTTGTTTATTATATATATTTTTAACGTTTTTTAAGTCGTTTGGTATGGTGTATTATATTTATTTATCTATTTGGGACACTCTTATTCTAAAAGTTATTAAGTTGTCAAAGATATGCCAATTAAAAGATCACGAAAAAGAACGTCACATATTCAATTAGAAAGTGTTATTAATACGTAAATCAGATCAAATACCACTCATTGACAACAGTTTTTGGCGACGAGATGAATTAGAAAGATTACAAAAATCAAAAATAATCGAGAAAAAAAATTTCAAAATGGACGCACAACAATTCATAGAATTTATGGAATTTCAAACTCTCTTTCAAATATCTACTCTCTTTTCTTAATTACCAAATTCACAGAGTCGGACAAAGCGTGAATCATAAAGCAAAGGTGAAATTGTGACGAATACCACACTTCTAGCTTACTTAGAAAATGTTGACAACAAGAAAGAATCGTTTTCAAATTACAAAAGCAGGTTCAAGAATTACCTTCAAATGAAGCAGATCAATACAAATAAGCCTTATTTTGCTTAATTGCTACTCAATTCTATTGGAGCTTAAAATTTCAACATGATTACAGCTTTGACTGCTCCTAAAACTCCTGATCAGTTGACATATGATGAATTGATAGAGTTATATTGGAAAAACATCTTGCACCAAAGAAGAACGTTTTAGTTGCTCCATATCACTTTTTGTCAATCTATCAAAATGAACAACAACCAATTCCAGAATTTGTAAGTACACTTAAGAGTAATATAAGTGATTATGAATTCACATGCGAGTGCAAGAAATCAGTTGCAGAAATATTCCTGGCAGCTCAATTCATTTGTGTCTTTTACGATAATAACATTCATGAACAACCACTTCAGTCTAATAGCAAAACTTTCAAAGACATTTTTATGAGGGCAATTGCGCTCGTATCTTCGAAAATTGATGCTAGCAAACAATCTCAACGTCATCAAGAGTTGGTATCAATAAAGTCAACTGTTCACACTAATCTGTTCATAAAATGCACAGAAATCATTCACGTTCATATATACCTTCAAAAAGTAGAAAATCGAGATACAATAGGTTACTTAGTTGCAAATATAACCTCGAATGACTAGGACTGCAGAATATTGTCTGACGGCTGAGGGTCTGTTGTTTGCCGATATTATGACTATCGTAGTAAGATCAGACAAACCTACAAAATACATAACAATCACTCTAAAAATAATGAACATCTAAATTAATGCAAATAATTTGGAAATGATGATTACTTTGAGAGGACAACAAACACATGAAATCTACAATGATGGCAAGTAACAACAATAATATTTATATGAATTGAAGGGGTTATATTTTTAAGAGTGATTGATTTTTGGGAAAGAAAGTTTTTGGCTTTCTACTACTCCATCTTGATACAAAAAACAAGGATACACTACAAAAACACACTTTTGTCTATTTTCCACTATATTTCTTTATTGTTGACCGGTTTCAGCTATTATACCATTTTCAAAAGTGTTTTATAGTTTTCACTACAAAAGTGTGTTTTTGTAGTGTATCCTCAGTGAACATGAATTTCCACAAAATAAACAAGTCGTCAATCGAAGAAGACAAAAAACAAGGATGAGGGAATCTTCCAAGGAAAGAAAGGAAGTAATCAATTCGAAAATAAGTAACTCTATACATGAATGTGTAGATCATGCAGACACAAACTGAAAGAAAGTCCTCCTGAAACAGCTACTTTCATATAAACATTATCAGCTCCATATCATTCCATAATATTAGGATATATCAAACGATTTGTGTCGTCATAGTGATTCATTGTGGTAGGAGATATCATTATCCAATACTTCACTCAATACCAACGGAAGGGTGGGGATTTCTTTTATTAGTCTGTATCTGGAACTCAGTCGAAAAGAAATAGGTGAAACACTGGATATAGCTATGTTGGTTTCAGACAACAACATAACAAAGGTATCATTACTCCTCTCTGAATCGTTTTTGTTCAGTTTTGCAATATTTTCCAAGCATTTACTTCTTATTTATATTGGTTGAAAACATATCTGCCATAAACATAACAGTATACTGATTTACTTTTTACTTTTCAGGTCCAAATAAGTTTCAGATCTGTTCTGATTCACTGAAAAAATGCTGGTTCCTGTAATTTTAGGAGCAGTTCTAGTACTTACCTATATTTACTTCAATCTTTACAGACCACTATGCTATTGGCAAAACCTTGGAGTGAAACAGGACAATCCGTTGACCTTACTGAAAAAACTGCTTCTTACTTTCTATAATGTGATTTTCAAACGTGAAGATCCTCTAGAAGCTGTGAGAAATCGCTACGACAAATTTCCAGGTTCACGGTGAGTTCAATTTGTAGTTACCTCTGATTTTTTCTTAATTCTAGAATGTTTTAAACAACAGATTCTTCAGAAAAATATGACGGTTTTTCAGTTACTCGGTAAAATTATCCATCTATATTATTTCCTAATAACCTTCAGGTTATAGTGAATATAGTCACTTCGGTACCAAAATCTTGAACGATTTTGATTTTGGCATGATTCATTTCCATGAAAATATCAACGTATCATATATTCTCTTTCATTGGTTCTTTTTCGTTTGAAAGAGCGTTAATTACGGAGAGGATGTGCAGCTCGTAAACGAAAGCATACTCTGGATGCCTGGGGGACGTATATCCACCTAGGGGTGGAACAGCGCCACTAACGTCTCAGCGAAGAATTCTCTACGAAGCAAGTATCAGCAAACACTACGATAGATATGGTGACCCTATCGGAAAAAAATATGCGATCTCACTTTACTTCATTGAAGTAATGAAATAGACTCGACGTAAAAATATGTATCATCTTGACGTGAAGAACCAAAACATGATATACAGTGTCATCCTCAAAGTAAGCACCATATGGGAAGCTTATTTATTAAGGGTTTTTCGACGAAAAGTTATTCTCGATAAAAGTTTGTGCATCCCCTAAAACTAAACATGCACTAACGAAATACATTACACACGTAATATACGAGGAGCCTTCAAATATTTGATTCTAGCACAAGAGTAAAGTACCCTTATTTTGAAAAATTCTGGGAAATGTTATTCGGAAAAGTTGTTGAGCATTGAAAAATACATCTAGATTTGAAGTCATGACTATCTGAGTGTAGTTTTATTTTTTACCCATTTTTTTTAAATGGGACTACGAAAAAAAATTGCTGAAACGATAAATAGACAGTATCCTATATACAACGGTTTATTTTAAAAGCCTGTGATATCACGAATTACACAACTATGGTGTTAACCACGGTCAACTTTTTTTTAAGGGTGAAATAATTTTCGAAGTTTTTGGTGCAAGGTTATTTTTATTTTTTGTTAACACCGAAAATTACTCAAAATTATACAGTATTGTAACAAGAACTTAATATTCAATAATATCAAATCACAAAACATCAAAATAAAATAGGTATTTTGCAGCAAACTCATTGATTATGGAGATTATTTTGGAGAATTATTTTGGACAAGAAAATCTCCAAAAAATCAATTTGTTTGTTCTGAAATACCTATTTCATTTTGAGTACTTTTCGGTGTTAACAAAAAATAAAAATAACTTTGCACCAAAAACTTAGAAAAATTGTTTTACTCTTCAAAAAAATTGACCGTGGTTAACACCACATCAAGATGCTGTCTGTTCATCGTTTTAGCAATTTTTTTTCGTAATCCACATTTAAAAAAAAAAAAAACTTCACTTAGATAGCCATGACTTTAAATCTAGATGTATTTTTTAATGTTGAACAACTTTTCCCAATAACATTTCCTGAGGTACTTTACTCTTGTCTCAAAATCAAATATTTGAAGGCTCCTCGTATATTACGTGTGTTTTACTGTATTTTGTTGGTGCATATTTAGTTTCAGGGAATGCAAAAACTTTTATCAGGAATAACTTTTTGTCGAAAAACCCTCAACAAATAAATTTCCTATATGGTGCATACTTTGGGAATGACACTGTATATGTATGGGAGTTCGCATATCATATTATCCTTTCTATACTTATACGTCCCCCGACAACAGAGGGGCCGTGTACTTTTGAGTTTGGAGTATCTTCACAAGAAAATGGTACTGAATGAAGAGTATAAAGTCATAAAGGGTTCAAATACTCTTCTCTGCCTCGTTCGCGAAATCACACGCGTGAACTCTGTCACCGAGTTGAATGAGAGCTTAACACGTATATCACTTTACAATACGAGGATAAACCGATACATCGAATATTTTCAACAACATTGAAGAATTTTTGCCTTCAAAGTACCTGAACTTTGATTTCATTTGTTATTCCTATTCCTATAGAATAAGGAACTTGAATGCATTCCACTGGAGGTGTCATGAATTGATTTACCAGAAACTTAAAATATAATGACTCTCCTATATAATGGGTGAAAGAATAGTGATTTTGGTAGAGTATATCTCAATTCGACATCTGTCAAAAATTTAGAATCATAACAACAAATAGTAGATATTTGAAGATTACTGGTGATCGCCCTTCATACATTGAAACTTTGTAATACTTTTGAAAGTAGTTCATATTTTGTTTCATTGTGAATTTTCCCCGTTTATTTTTCTCAATAGTAAAATATCATGATGACGCGAGTTCTCGGTGGTGTATTTGGAATGAAGACTAAAATAGAAGTAATCTTTCTGGTACGAATAATAGTAATAGTCACCGAATTTTTCAAATATCACCTCAGTTCTATCCCAACACCAAACCGCATTTCAATCACCAACTAATCATCTTCAAGAGCAAGATTAAACTTCAACAGGAAGATCAACTCCAGATTACTGGACTTCTATCTCAATACTAAATCGTTATTTTCAACGTATCAATCACAAAGTGATCATCTTCAAAAGGAAGATTAATCTTCCTGTTGAAGTTTAATCTTCCTCTTGAAGATGATCACTTGGTGATCGAAACACGTGTCGAGGTGTTAAAAACAACGGTCTGGTGTTGTGATATAACGTCAGTAATATTCATTACTGGTTTCAAACAGCGTGTCACAAGTACTTTATTGAAAAAGCAAATTTTCATCTACATGGTGAACGATAGGGGCAAAATTCAACTCTGCTTTTCTTTCTAACGAACTTTCATTGAATCTGCATTGCACTTCTATATTTTTTTCATAGATATTATGGAATATATGAAATGACCTCGCCAGGTTTGATGGTGAAAGATGCAGACCTTGTTACTCAGATGCTAGTAACAGACTATGTTCACTTCAATGACCACAGGGTTCTCATACACGATGACCTTGACCCGCTCTTCACCAAGTGTATTTTTGCCCTCAAAGGTGAGTTTAGATGAAATGCCTGTAGGTTGTCACTTCCATTTCCCATTTTTTTCCTTGGTTTCCTTCTGGTATATGTAGGGTGAGTGTAGACTCACAGCACTTAGGCCACATGTAAGCCACATGTGACCCATTGTACATCCTCCCGAGGAGTTGTCCTCCTAGGTCATCGTCCATCCTGTCTTTTCCACGAAGGTGAACAGGTCACTAGGAGACATCCCCATAATATTGGCAGGTGTAGGCCAAGACTCGCCGAACACACTCCCTTTGGCAAGCTTGAGGTGTCTCACGATGGTCTCCGCGAAGTTTTGGAAGGTGCAGCGATATGACTGTCGTTGCGCGGCTTCTTCAACCTTCTTGGAGTTCTCTTCGTGGAGGTGCACAAGTGAGGGAGCTTTCCTGCAGGGGCAGCCGGTTGCCTTTCTTCAAGACGGAGCTCTTGGCGCCCGCTGCAGGAAGTGCCCTTGCTGTTGGAGGTGATCTGCTATGTCCAGCCATTCCAAGCGGTAGATCGGGTTGGACAATTCTGTTCAGCCACTGCCTTGGATTGGCCGTCCAGCCTCGGGATTGATTTTTGTTTTTGTTGTTTCTGTTTTTGTGTTTGTTTCATTCATGTGTGTTCCTACGAGTAGCAAAGAAAGACTTGGTAGAGCCCCGCATTACCAAAGGTAGGCTGATTACAATGAGGTTTCGCCAAGTTCCCCGACGGGATCGTTCGTGATCGCTATCATCCTGCGGCCATTCAGCTGTCGGCACGATTCCTTACACTTTAGCTTGGGTAGGCTGGTCCACGGTGGCATGTTTTTCAAAGGCTTTTGGGGAGTTTTAGTTCCCCTCCCCCTACTAATTTCTGCGACTGACCAGGAGTCCGGCGACTCCGTCCGTAAGGCCACATTGGCTTCCCGGACAGGGCCTCCAGTCCCCTGGCCGTTCCCCTATCCGCCACCTGGGGACGCGCCCGATAAGTAGCCCAACCCACGGGCCTTGATTTCCTTTTCAAAATCCTCATCTCGCTCCCTATTTTCCGTACAATGAGCTTGTTTCATGCTATGAAAAATGGTACTGATTTGCTTATAGACTGATCAAGTTAGGGGTATATCATACTTATGAAGCCTAATCGGTCCCATGATCGCTTTATATTTGCAGAAAAAAGAACAATTCGAAAAGCAAGAATTTAAATTGGCCGCGTGTCTGTTGACCAATAAAATTTAATGTATGTCATATCGGATCCATTCTGCTTGTTTTTGCAACATTGAGTTTCAACTTTTTCTTAGCTGACAGCTCGCGTAGGAACAATTCGTTTGTTCATCGAGTTTAGTTTGTGTATGTTTTTAACGTGTTTTAGTATTCTTGTGCTGATTTTAATTGTGCGACAAGGCACAAGAAAACAGAAAGCGCATTGGTTTATAAGTGAGTTATTTCATATAATGAGTTCAGGTTCCCTAAGGATTAAATGATGGAAAAAAAATGGGTGAAAGTATATTGAAAAGAGAAATCTACAATCCTTCTACTCTTCCAAGACTTCATAGAAATCATTTAAAAAGTGATTATAAATAAAAGGGGAACGAAAATACTGAATTTGATGACACAGTTTTTTATTTCAACTTCCAAGTATTTTCCACAGAAAGTATTATTTGGAGTTGATCCTGTTACTGAAAGTGTGGAACAAAATCAATTGAATTTTATCATATGATTAATGGTATTATTACCTCAGAAGCTTTTGTTGGAGCAGTTCGAGTACAATCAATTCTGTCTATACTTGACCTCATTCAATCTTCCTTTCAAGTTTTGGAAGATTCAACAGATTAAATTTAATAGCTATATTAGAAAGAGGTATATATGTAGGAATCGTTTATTATTATAATACATTGCAGTTGTACAGATTGAGGATTGTAGAAGAAATTCAATATTTGAAATGATTCTTCAATCCAGTTTGCTATATTTTTTGATTTTCATAACCGTATATTATTAAATAACGCATAAAATCATAGTTAAGGTAAATATTTTGTGATCTATCGACTTTGTGTACTGATTTTAGATATAGAACTTATTTCCAAACATAGTTTATCGTGTCGACTTCATTCCATTCGGAGAATTTTTCATTAATTGAAACGTTAACGGGTTCATATACATTTTCATGATTAAATAGATAATTATAGGCTCCGTAAATTTAACGATTTGGCAATGTTGATTATTTCTATTGTTCCTATTGGTCAATCGAATAAGAAGCGGGATTAGGGGCGTGACGTCACCACCCTACCACATTCGATTTTTAATAATGTATTATGGAAAAACTACGGTACTTAGAGAGATGAAACAAAGTGCACTGTTTTTCAATTTAAAATTCCTATCGAGTGAACTATAAACCAAAAATCATGAAACAAGCCCATTGATTCCAACTCTCTTCTACTTGATTTCGACACATCTCATTTATAGGAGAAGAATGGCAAAAGGTGAGAAAAACCGTCACCCCATCATACACAAGTAGTAAAATGAAGGGTCTCTTCAGTACAATGAACGAGTATTCTGAGAGATTGGCAAAACATTTCCTCAGTAGAAAAGAAGATGTCCTCAGGATCGAGATGCGTGATACTACTACACGATTTTGTAATGACTCTTCCGCCAAGATGTCCTTCGGAATCAACGTCGATTCCTTTGCAGAACCAAACAACGAATTTTGGCAGATGTGTCACAAGGCTGTTGATACTATTAGTAAGCCGAAGGTGCTGAGTTTTAATGTGTATTTGCTAGCACCGAAACTAGTGAAGGTAAGTTGATGTTGATGTACGTAGTAGTCGTCTTTCCAGACTTGAAGAGAACTATCGATAGAAACGTATTGTTAACAAAAATATAATCTTGTAGAATGAGAGTAAATGCTTATTATTGGTATTGAACATACTATGGATCTTCATCAAGTAACGGCCGAATCAATCAGAAAAATAATTATTAATATAGTAATGAAGTGAATTGTGTGAAATATCACATTAGTGTATTCAGAAGATTTGTAATTTTTCAGTTTCTTAAAATGAAAATAGTGGATTGGGATGCGGATTCTTTCTTCAGGCAAATCATAAGTGACACCATGAAGATCAGAGAAAAGGAAAGAGAAAATGGAATTCTGGGAGCTGATCTCATACACCTGCTACTAGAAGGAAGAAAACGAGCAAAAATGAACAAGGATAAAGAAACAGACGTGAAATCAACATATAAAAGTGAGTCATAACTTCAAAATAGGTAGATTGTGATAGAAACTTGTTCTGGAAATCAACGAACTTCATTAAACATTGTTAAAACTTCCCTCTAGTTCATAACATATTTCATGATAATTTCAAGTGCTTCCAGATTGATTTCCATCTATAGTTACTCAATTGATAAATATCATTTTTATTTTTTCAAATTTCAGTTTCTATCTTGCTCCGTAGGCCAGTTGGTATCTACAAGGTCAGCAAGTTTTTGAGTCTGATGTTTCGGGCGTTCAGGGCGAAAGTCTAATTTCCGCCCTAAATTGAAATTGCAGAAACTTTCAACAGCCATTTTGTTAATATTGGTGGAAAACTGGTTATTCACGTAAATGACCGAAAAAACAGTTTTCGTACAAAAAAGTCAATCAATTTTTTTAGGGATTTGAAAACCTCATTTCAGAACTGAAAGATGAAAAACTTAAGCTCTGACAAAATAACCCTGAACCATTATGTTTCATAAAAGTGGCGAAATACCTATTTCAAAATTAATCTGCTAGATAAATCAGGAAACAATTATAACTACCGATATCGTTAATGTCGAACAAATCCAAATTTGAAAAAAATATATTTGGAAGAGGTTGATCGAATATTTGGAAAAAAAATAACTGAATTTTTCTGAATAAATTTGGAATCTAGGCCAATTTGTCAGGACAACACGATATAACAACATCTGAAATTCAATAAGGTGTATATAATTCCAAAACGTATTCCCCGATTTGATGAAAACCTTTGATGCCATCAACTCTCACTGAAAAAACTAAGCAAAATAGGTATGACGTGAAATGTGGTGAAACTTTTTGCAAGTTATCTGACCAATCGTCAACAGCATATCCAAATGAAAAGCAGCATGAGCACTGTCAGAACTGTGGTATACCTCAAGTAACGGTCTTGGGGCCCATATTATTCATTATATAGCCTAATGATTCACTGGAATCCTGAATTTCAACAGACTTGACATCATTTTCTAATTCTAGAGCTTGAAAGTTTCTCCAACTCTATGTTTCTCGAGGATCCGGTCCGTCACTCTGCTTATGTTGGGCAAAAAAGTTCTCCAGTCTGTTCAGATATCACTATGTGGTGTTTTTGGTTAGATTATGAGGCTAGGTTGATGCATTTTTCAAATGAAATATTCAATTTTTCAGCACTTCCAGTTTGTAGATATATCTTGCCTTCTTTTCCAGACACTTAACAGCGCTTTAAAGCGCCAGTTTTATGGCGGATGGTGGTTGTCTGTATAGATCGGCTCTCTGTACACATTATGCCTCAGTCGTTCTCTCAAATTTCCACTAATATATCCAGGAAAGCAATAACGAACTGAATTTTTGGGTTTCAGGAATTCAGATATTCTACAAATTTTGTCAGTTGTTATTTTCTTGATACCAAACCATAAGTATTGAACACACCTGAAGAAGTTATTCTATAGTCAAACACGTGTGGCGGCTATGTTAAACCTGTTAGGTTAAAATCTCAAAATGAGGTGTTATTTGAATACATCAACATTGCATAGCCAACAGGAGGTTCGTTCCAGTGAATATTCTAGAGCTCATCATTCAAATAATTCCTTGTAGAAATTATCAACTACTGGCTTTGGTTTACTTTCCAACGCCATTCCTTGTCTCAACTCTTAGCTAAATAGCATAAGACTAGATGATAAAGAATTATTTCATTAACTCATACTTCGTCATTCTCATTATATTGGTGAATTTTCAGATTACAATGCGGATTGGTCTAACATGGACATCATAGCACAAGCATTCTTTTTCCATTTTGCATCTTGTGCTCCTGCTCCAACTTTATTGAGCTTTATGGGCTACGAATTGGCAGTGAACCCCGATGTACAAGAAAAGGTTAGAGAAGAAATTCGGGAAACTGATGAAATATGTGGAGGAAAATTGACCTATGAAGTATTGAATAGAATGAAATATATAGATATGGTAGTTCAAGGTATGTTCTTGAGTGTTCCTTTACAGTAAAAGTGGTGTTTCAAGTACAATTTTCGTTCAACTAAGAGGTCATTGTCTGATATTATCACAGTTTGCTCTACGGGCAAACCATGAAGCAAGACCGAAACAAGCATTTTCCCTAAACACCAGTACTGCAATACTCTACCCGACGCGTATTTCAACAGAAAATAAAGTGAACCTATTGGTTTAGTTGTATTTTGTTTAGTTGAATTTAGTTCTGGTGTTTGGTGAAAGTAATTGTTTCGGATTCATTCTACGCCAGAGGATTGAGTTTTACCTTTCATCGACTGCCGTGTTAATTGAAAAAGGCGTAACTACATTTTTCCAACAAAGACGTAACCAACATTGTTAGTATGAAAAGATATATCTCCTCACCAAACGGTAGATACGTCTCACTGTTCTAATATTGTGACGTAACGTAATACACTGTCTACCGACACTCCAAGTCTTTGCAGATGATGATTCAGTGACCTGTAAGTAGTTCATCGTAGTTCATCCCTACTACAGTCCAACAACTGTTTGGTATCAAGCTTCAAAGGGTGAATAAACGCCTTGGAGTGAGCTAATCCAGAAAGATTCTGCCAGAAGTCCACCTATCTTCTTGCCATCCTTGCCATCTTTGTTTGGCAAAGCCTAAAGCGTTCAACAGTAGTCTACCATCATTGATGCGTTCCATGTTCCTTGGTATCATTTTTTCATCTTCTTAATGTCTTGGTGGAATCGTTCACCTTGCTCTTCAGTCACATCTCCTAAATTTTCTGGAAAGTAGTTGAGGTGGAAATGAAGAAAATGTACTTTTTGAACTCATTAGGCAACCTAAGGCTTGAAATACTTTCAACATTCTTTTGACGATTTGTTTGTAGGTAGTTAGGTAGTTGAAAGGCACGTCAGGAGTAAAGGTAATCGCATTGCCGACTCTTTAGCCAAGGAAGCGGCTAGAATTTTAGGACTCAGTGGCACCCACGGCCTGATGACTTCGACAATTGCGGAACTAGTCAAATGTTACACCTATGCTCAATCTTTAAAGAGATGGGATGAAATCAAAGGATGTAACCTTGCCAGGATCACCTTGGGACACCCTGGGAAGCTGGCGCCGAAGAAATATCTGGCGATGACCAGGAAAAATCTACGCCTAACAGTAGAATTTCTGACTGGCCACTGTCAGCTAAGGAAACACCTACATAATATGGGGCTAGTGGACACACCTCTATGCAGGATGTATGAACAGGAAAATGAGACTGTCAGGCATGTCCTGTGCCAGTGCCCGGAGTTATCGTCAATAAGAGATATAAAGGAGATGTCTCCCAGCGACCTGTCCACCTTCCTGGAAAGGACAGGATGGACGATGACCTAGGAGGACAACTCCTCGGGAGGATGTACATTGGGTCACATGTGGCCTTAGTGCGTGGGCTTACACTCACCCTCCCTACTCTACAGATACAGACAGGTAGTTAGGATCTTTTCAATTGCCTAAAAATTTCTCTATGACCTCCTTGGAAGCAATCCACCCTTCTCGTTGCGGATCGTCATGGTTATGATGATTTGTGGATTAGCCATAAACCGTCCAAAGAAAACACTTTTCTTCACTTTGCCTCTGAGAGGCCTGGAAATTTTGATATCAAGTATATGAAGCAGCTTTCATCTCTTGGAAGTGACTTTATAAATTGCTTCATCAATCCAAGCTTTATGTGAAGCAGTGGTAGAAAAACATTATGAAGAGACACCAAAAGTTTCATGCAGAATGTTCTTTTTGCCAACGTTGAGCTCCTTTGGATGCCAACGTACCTATCCATTCATGACTTCAAATTAGCCCAAAAACCCGTTTTGCAAAATAACCTGATGTTCTATGTTTTTTTGAGTATTTTATTAGTTTTCAGAACACCAAAATACATAGACATTAGTTGAAAACATCCAGACTGCTTTTTCGTTGGTCTAATTCTCAATATATTTCGAAGGCTTTGGTAGCACCATACCTAATCAATAATGGTTTTTCAGAATCTATGCGAAAATGGCCTTCCGTCATCGAGGTCGACAGAATTTGTTCAAAGGACTATGTGATCCAACCCGTTCTACCAGAAGAAAAACCAGTTTTAGTGAAAAGAGGTTCCAGAGTGATTGTTCCGATTTACAGTCTTCACCATGACCCACAGTTCTTCCCAGAACCAGAACGCTTCATTCCCGAAAGATTCAGCGATGAGAATAAACACAAAATAAAACCGAATACTTTCACTCCATTTGGTTTCGGATCAAGAACTTGTATGGGATCGAAGTATTCCATCCTGCAAGCGAAGCTTATGTACTACCATATTCTGTCTCATTTTGAAATAGTACCTGTGGAAAAAACGAAAGTGCCTCTGGAGGTCGCCAAAATTCCTAGATTGAATGCTGAAGGGGGATTGTGGGTAGGACTGAAACGTTTAGACTGTTGACTTGAGTAAAGTTGTAATTTCTGTGAACCCACTTGTATTTATGTATGTACGAGTATTTAGCAAAGTATAATACGTTCAATGGATTCATTTACGACAAATCGATAGTGAGGAATTACCCAAATAGTCATTTTCAAATAAAAAAGTGAGAATCAATGTGATAAATTGAATGTGAACCGTTGTATTTATTGTAAACATGTTTTTTTAGTTTTTCGTCCCAATACAGTTGTTCAACAAAGCTGCATTCACATTTTCTTGGATAATAATAATAATAATAAAACTATGTTTATTTTCTCATACACTGATATAAATTACATTAATTGCTATCGAAAATGAAAAAGATAATCACAGAAGCCATAGAAATCTATAGCTTGTTCGTGATGAGACTATGTTGTGAATTAAGTTTATGAATACTTTTACATTACATTAACATTTCATTAAAGAATAATGAGTGATCAATCAATTGATAAATGAACCTAATAACAGAAACAGTAGTTACAGACAGAGTACATAGTTATTTTCATCTACTCAATAATTGCTTAGGTCAATCTGCTGTTTGGAATAGTTTGATTAATGAAGTCAGAAAAAAAGTTCTTTCGTTATTCAGAATAAATTTCTTCACTTCTCTTTTGAACATAGAAGAACTGTTGATATTTTTTATTTCTCCTGGTAATATTTGGTATAAGCGTGGTCCAAGATATGTTGCGTTTCTTTGTCCTATAGTTTTGTCACATCGTGGTGCATTTAAAGAGTTTTCTTTTTTCCTAGTATTGATTGGTTCTATTTTGATGTTTCCTTTTTTAACATTACTCAGTATTCTCATATAAAAAAAATTGGCGATTTTTTTTTCAGTTGAATATAATTTTCAGTATCCATTTCTGTATGACATTTAGATTCCTAAGTATCCTCTATCGGGTAATGAACTGCAATATGATATGAAGGGTAAATATTTAGTATTTTCGAAATTGATAGTGAGTTTATTGTGACAGAACCATTTTTCAATCTCAATAAAGAGTTTCTCAATTAATTCAGTTAAGAAACTAACTCATTCAGAAAACACTTTTTCGTGAGATTATCACGCCTGAAGAAGCCATTATATGACGAAACACGTGTTCCGTTTTCGTAAAAATGTTTACTGAAAATCTCACAAAGTTTTTTTTGAATACGTTAGTTACCTATAATCATCAAGTATCTGCCAGTTGAGAAAATAAATTTGAGAAGGCGTGACTAACTACGTCATTAATTTTATAAATATTTTTCAAAAACAAACTATATAAGCTATAATTCGACACTATCTTGCAGAACGCTTGTCGAATTATTGGTAGTTCACTCTGTTAATAATGAAAAAGGTTAATTTTTCATAAATTCAAGGAGCTGAATGTAGATTTGAAGCTGTCGTAACAATATATTCGATTATATTTTCGATTTATCAATATACCACGATAAAATCAGAGCATTCAAAAATTTGAATGAACTGAGTTATACTGTTCAAAAATTGAATTTTTTGGTTTTTCATCTGATTCTGTTAACTTCATACGAGACTTCCTAACTAATCGCATACAAAGGGTAGTGATGGACAACGATAGATCTGAAACATTGAATGTTGCATATGGAGTATCACAGGATTCAATCTTAGGTGCCTTGCTATTCAGTATTCATATATCGGATTTCCATGAATACATCAGAATAGTCAAACCCACCATTAAGCAGACGACAGACAAATATACTCCACTTTCAAGTCGACTTCCATAACCCACTCAGAAATAATAATAATCAAGATCTTCAGTCATTGTTGGACATATCTACGGCTCACAGTCTGAAGCTCAATGGAAAAAATCTCCTTTCATGAATCTGGGTCTTACGTCGTCCAGAAATTCAGCCATTGAAAAATTGAAAATGACTACCTCCCTCAAGGACTGCCGGATCTAGGTTTGTATCTAACAGTGAGCTGAGATTTTCGGGACATGTCAGCAACTCATGTAAGGTATTATATAATACTCTCCGACAATTGTACCCAAATCGTGACCTTCTTTCCACAAATATGAAGCCGACATCAGTGGCTTCATCTCCTTCACAGTTACCCACAAAACTCTCCTGGCACGGAAACCAGCTTATCTTTGTGAGACATTGAAGTTGTTTTTAAGCATACCCAACGCTCCGACGCGACTTGAAAATGTCTTAGTAATCCCAAAGCACAGTAGTTTCATTTATTCTCGCATCTTTGGATCATTTTCAAATACATTATTGAGTGTAAACTTGAATAGTTTTAGAGTTCCAATACTTTATCAAAACTGAATGAGAATATACCTGTGGAGTCATACAATAATCTTATCTTGACCTATTATCTTCAGCAATCAATATACTTTAGTACTTGATGGTACAGACATGTAGTATTGTTAATAATGAATGCTGATGAAGTAGTAGACTTTCAGAATTTCAAAGAACTTTTAATGTAACATCGAGGAAATCGACAGCTCTGGTGAGCTGAATTTGAAGATGATTATCATATGTTTCAACTATGACAAACATATCGTATTGTTGATCTACTGGCGATGTCTTATTTTTGAATCTGCCGTAAGCAAGAAAAAGTGAATTTACTACAACTATCTACTTACTTGAAGCTACTGCTAGTGGATGTAGGCCCCTCAACTATTGGAGAAACACTGTATCCCACAAAAAGTTTTTACTTCTACTGATATGGCTGTCGAAATAAATGAAGAAACAATGCAAATTTACTTTTTGAACTTCCCAGAAACTACCAAGGCCACTTTGTTGTATTGATGTTTTGAATTGTATGGTTCCTTGGTCTTTTAAATTTCAAAATCATACTGATTTTCCAAGCGTACCTTATGTATTGATCATGAAACAACCTGACTGACAGACAAAATTATCACCAACCTCATGAAACTGTCAAGAATGTGATGTTTTTCGACTGAGTCAAAACTTCGAAACCCTTCAATACAACTACAGTAATAATTTCACTTTCCTGAAGAACACAATTCAATACATTCTTTTCTAATCTTCGAATCTAAAAAAATTCAACTGCAGGATTTCTTCGACATAAAAATCGGGGTATATGAATGGGTGAGTACCGAATTGAAATCAAGTAGAAAATGGATCATAGGCATCTAGATGCCTATCTAATCTTAGTGAACTGAAGTCTATGGAATTGATTTTTTGCAAAACGTGATAGGCGACTGCCGATTTTTCTGGTCTTCTATATTAACGGTGTACTGAGTGTTCCTTATATTTTATTTTGATATGTCGAATACAGCAATTGCCTTGTTTGAATATCACAGGAGCCATGAGAACAACACCAACCGTGGCAATGGAATTAATTAATGGTCTCACCCATCTGTACCTGCATGTTGAGGAGGTTGCGTTAATGGCCATGTTACGATTGCGCACGCCTGGTGTAAACCTTGAAGTAAGAATGGGTCAACTGAGGCTAAGCCTATAGCGAGAAGCGCTTACTGCGCAACCTCTGCTGCAGGCAGCCAGTGGTGCAGTTGAACCCAGATTCGTGTTTAATAAACGCTACAAAATACAAATGATACTGAACACAGAGTCAGATGCTACAAATGCAATACGCATATACAGGGTGTCCCTGGACTTCCTCTTTTCCTCTCGGGAATGTTTTCAGGTTATAGTGAATATAGTCACTTCGGTACCAAAATCTTGAAAGATTTTGATTTTGGCATGATTCATTTCCATGAAAATATCAATGTATCATATATTCTCTTTCACTGGTTCGTTTTCATTTGAAAGAGCGTTAATTACGGAGAGGATGTGCAGCTCGTAAACGAAAGCATACTCTGGATGCCAGGGGGACGTATATCCACCTAGGGGTGGAACAATGCCACTAACGTCTCAGCGAAGAATTCTCTACGAAGCAAGTATCAGCAATGAAATAGACTCGACGTGAAAATATGTATCATCTTGACGTGAAGAACCAAAACATGATATACAGTGTCATCCTCAAAGTATGCACCATATGGGAAGCTTATTTATTAAGGGTTTTTCGACAAAAAGTTATTCCCGATAAAAGTTTGTGCATCCCCTAAAATTAAACATGCACTAACGAAATACAGTAATACACACGTAATATACGAGGAGCCTTCAAATATTTGATTCTAGGACAAGAGTAAAGTACTCTTATTTTGAAAAATTCTGGGAAATGTTATTTTTGAAGCTCAATGGAAAAAATCTCCTTTCATGAATCTGGGTCTTACGTCGTCCAGAAATTCAGCCATTGAAAAATTGAAAATGACTACCTCCCTCAGGTCAAGGACTGCCGGATCTAGGTTTGTATCTAACAGTGAGCTGAGATTTTCGGGACATATCAACAACTTATGTGAGGTATCATATAATACTCTCAGACAATTGTACCCAAATCGTGATCTTTCCAAGAAGATGAAGCTGACATTATGCGAAACTCTCATTTTTTCAAAACTCTCATATTGTGACGGTGTTTATGGACCTTCTTTACTCCTATGCGATTCCTTCCGTCTGCAGAGAATACAAAATGCTTGCATAAAGTACTAGTACGGATGTCACAAATTTGATCACATTAGTCACAAAATGAAACAATGTGGTTGGCTTTCAATGCAGAATATGAGAAAACTACACCTACTCACAGTTACGTACAAAACCCTTTTGAAACGAAAACGAGCTTCTCTTTGTGAGACATTGAAGTTGATTTCAAGTATACCCAACTCTCGGACGCGACATAAAAATATCTCAGTAATCTTGAACAGTTTTAGAGTTCACACATGAACTTATTTGTCCAAAACTTCATCAAAACTGAATCAGGATATACCTATGAAGTCATACAATAATCTAATTTTGACCTATTATCATCAGCAATCAATAGACTTTAGTACTTGATGATACAGACATGTAGTATTGATAATAATGAATGTTAATGGAGTCGTGGAATTTCAAAATTTGAAAGAACTTTTAATGTAACATCGAGAAAATCGACTGAATAACACCGTTACATTCCTTAGCTCTGGTCAGCTGCATTTAAAGATGACCTTCCATTTGTTTCAACTGTAAAAGACATATTGTATTGTTGATCCACCAGCGATGTCTTATTTTTGAATCTGTCGCAAGGAAGAAAAAGTAAATTTATTATATCTATTCTCTGAAAGCTACTGCTAGTGAGTGTAACCCCTCAACTATTGGAGAAACACTCAATCCCACAAATCGTTTTCACTTCTACTGATATGGCTGTTGAAATAATGATCACCAACCTCATGAAAGTATCAAGAATGTGATGTTCTACGACTGAGTCAAAACTTCTAAACCCTTCAATACAACTAGAGTAATAATTTTACATTTCTGAAGCCCACAATTCAATACATTCTTTTCTAATCTTCGAATCTTGAGAAATTCAACTTCTTTAATATAAAATCAGGGTATATGAATTGAAATCGAAAAGGAAATGAATCATAGGCATCTAGATGCCTATCGCTGTTCACTTGTCTATCTAATCTTAATGAACTAAAGTCTAAGGAATTGATTTTTTGCAAAACATGATAGGCGAGTGCTGATTTTTCTGGTCTTCTGTATTAACGATGTGCCAAGTGTTCCTTATATTTTATTTTGATATGTCAAATACAGCGATTGACTTGTTTGAATATCACAGGAGCTATGAGAATAACACCAACCTTGGCAATGGAATTAATTACTGGTCTGACCCATCTGTACCTGTACGTTAAGGAGGTTGCGTTACTGGCCATGTTACGATTGCGCACGGCTGGTGTGAACGTCGAAGTAGGAATGGGTCAACTGAGGCTAAGCCTATAGCGAGAAGCACTTACTGCGCAACCACTGCGGCAGGCAGCCAGTGATGCAATTGAACCCAGATTCGTGTTCAATGAACTCTACAAAATACAAATAAAACAGAACGCAGAGTCAGATACTACAAATGCAATATACAGACGAGTCAAAAACCAAAGAAGGCTCAGGATGTAGAGTTTACTCCAGATTACTAAGCCTAAGGATTAAGTGGAAAATGGGGAAAAATACGAGCGTGGTTCAAACAAAACTGGCTGGTATCTCAATCGCCACAAAAGAAATAATCAGGACGGGAATTTCTGGCAAAAACATAAAAATCTGCACTGATAGTAGACAAACCCTGTGGCCTTGAACAGACAACGTGTTACCTCAGGGCTAGTACTATAGTGCCACAAAGATTCAATCAAAGCCTCGGTAGATAATAAGATTATCCTGATGTGGGTTGAAGGGAATGTCAGGAGTAAAGGTAATCGCATTGCTACACTTGAGCCAAATTAGCGGCTGGACTAAGAATTTTACGACCCAATGACACCTACGGCCTGATGACTTGGACAATTGCAGAACTAGGCAAACATCACACCCATGCTCATTCCCTGAAGAGATGGGATGGTATCAAGAGATGCAGTCTCACCAGGATCACCTTGGGCGATCCTGGGAAGCTGGTGCCGAAGAAATATATGGCGATGACCAGGAAAAACTTACACTTATCAGTAGGATTTTTGACTGGCCACTGTCAACTAAGGAAACATCTTCATATTATGAGGCTATGCAGGATGTTTGAACAGAAAGATAAAACTGTCCAGCATGTCTTATGGAGTTATCGTCGATAAGAGAGTGTGTGTTCGGTGAGTCTTGGCTTACACCTGCCAATATAAAGAAGATGTCTCCAAATGACCTGTTCACCTTCTTGGAAAGGACAGGATGGACGATGACCTAGAAGGACAACTCCTCGAGAGGATGTACAATGGGTCACATGTGGCCTAAATGCTGTGGGTCTACACTCACCCTCCACACTCTACAGATAGATATCTTATTTTGATAGATCGTTTTGTCTGTACATAATATTTTGCATCACAGTCCTTAAATTTGAATTCGTAGATTCTAGACTTTTCCGAATTCTTAACTTTGCCCTTTGAATTTATTTAAAGGCTCTGTAGTGTATGACGTATTTTAAAAATCACCTCCATACCTAGTTCCTTGAAAAGTTTTTCAAAGTTCCTTGTGTATTGGTGGTATGGAACTGAAATATATTCATCTTGGTTTTTGTCGCTTCTACGAGTCGAGATGCCGTTCATTCTCAACCTAAACTTTTCCCTCCTTATAATATGGTCTACAATACCCCCTGAATTTAATAAGCAAACAATTGAATTTTAAATAAAATTGGTAGATATTTTCTACTCATTTCCGATGAAACAAAGAGAAATTTTATCACTGAAGGGGAATAGAAATACTATGAATTCTCTAAATTTCATTCACTCGTACATCACCAGATATTATGCCACATCATAGAGTAGCATTGTAATAAAGCTCTTCCACATCCCCAGACTTGAAGAGAACTATCGNGGCATGTAGCTGTTTACTGTTTGTCCAAATCAGACGTGATGTCAATTTCGATTATTGTATCACAAGTGTATTTTTACTGTTCTTGCATCAAGAGGATAATACAATTCACACATGAGAATATGGTGAAGAAAATTCGACCAGTCACGTCGACAAATTTTGTGGATCATGAACTGAAAGACATTTTCAGGATTGAAACCGATTTTTTCGTGAAAAAGTATGACATGATTTGTGATATTACGGATATGGTTGGAGATATTTTTGATACACAAATATTTTTCATTCTTATTTGCATAGTTATTGAAGTTCTCCATGGTATCAACAATTCACTTCGAGTTATACTGGGATCACAAATATTTGAACCAAACTCTGTGTCTTTGATTGTAATCAGTGGATTCAATATTCTGCAATACATAGTAAGTAAATAACAGTTTGTATGTGGAAAGTCATAATTGCAAATTATTCAAAAGTAATAAGCATCCAACAAAAAGATAAAGAACTAAAATTGTTTCGAAGAGTTAATATCTGGGAGATCGGAGACTACGGAAAAATATGGGGGTTGAAACCAGATATGCCGTATTGGTTATATTAACAATGGTGGTTAATTTATGATAACATAATTTATCTTCAGCTTGGGAACCAGAACTCAAACAAGAGCTCGCCATTACCAAACTAAGAAAAGTGCAAAGATATGATTGTTTAAAAATAACGGGTAGAATGAGAACCATACTAATGGCACCTTGAAGACACTGTCAAATCTGCTGCCTTCACATCTCGTAGTAATTGGTGGAGCCCAGGTGAAGCTCCTGGCTCACAGATACAGGCTTGTCTGGCCATGAGTGGTACCATCAATACCACACCGTTAGCAGCCATGGAGATCCTTCTAGATCTACCTCCCCTCCATATTTTTCTGGAAGAGAGGCTAGATGGACTGCATATAGATTTGTGCACATTGCTAATTGCACAAATCAATTTAATGCAGAGTGCAACAGACTGTTGGATGACACTAGAAGTCACAACATTCTCGAAATGACCTCTGACTTTAAGCCACCAACTGCCTCATAAAGTACTGTTCTCGAGTAGAGAGGACTGGATCCTCCGGGAGCAGAAAATATTGAAAGCAGATAGTTGTTGGTTCATAGATGGATCAAAAACACCTTCCGGTTCTGGTGCAGGTGTTTTCAGTCGCAGATCCAGAATAGAGATATCAACCTGCCTAGGAACCTATGCGACTGTATTTCAAGCGAAAATTCACGCAATTGAATTGTGTGAGGAGAGATTGAAAGAACCCTGCCTCATACACAAGTCAATAAGAATATTTTTGGACAGTTAAACGACGTTTGAAGCTCTTGGCTCCTACGCATCAACGTTTAAATTGGTAACGAATCGCCAAAAACGACTCTTCTCGATAGGAAGACGTAACAGATTTCTGGATTTCTGGCCATACTGGCGTGGAAGGCAATGAAGCTGATGACTCCTTTGCAAAGAAGGGTGCTGCAAGCAGCTTCATTTGACCAGAACCTATCATTGGCATCGCTTTAGACTCTGCCAAACAGAGATTGAATACCTGGATGGTAAGAAGATTGATTGATTTCTGGCAAAATCTTCTAGGTTTGGCTCACTCCAAGGCCTTTATATACCGTTGAAGCTTGATACCAAACAGCTGTTGTACTACAGTAGGGATGAACTACGATGTCCAACAGGCCTTCTTACAGGTCACTGTCATTTGAATCATTATATGCAGAGACTGGGACTGTCGGAAGACAGTGTGTGTTGCGTCTGTTTAGGAAGAGATGAAACACAGAGCACATACTCTGTGCCTGCCCCGCTGGGGACCAAATCAGTTTTTTTAGAGTTCGACAGAGCCGTACTCTAACCATCTGACCTGAAAGAACACTCACCATATAATCTAATCGTCTTTGCTAAGAAACTGGGTTTTTTGGTCGAGTGTGAATAGGTGAGAGCTACAATAAACCCTTGCGGATTGCGGTGGAGGGTTAAAGAGACCCACTCACTTTGGACCTAACCTAACCTAAGTGGTATTCCAATTCATATTGGATTTTTCATCAAGCATCAGGGGTAGGAAATTTTTGAATATGTGAAAAAATTAAAATCAAATACGCTCCACATTGATGAACAGGCATCTGAGAACATGTTTCACAAAAACAAAGCATGATCTCATGCCGGACAGCGATCTATCGCGCTCATCAGTGGTAATTGGCTGAACCACAAATACACTTTTGTTAGTGAAATGTCTTTGAAGGACGAATCTGAGTAACAGAAGAGCAGAGGTGTTATACGTTCCACATACAAATCCATGGTTTATCATGAAGTTATAACAAAAACACTTTTTCGAAACTTCAACACCATTTACTTCAAAACCCTGAATTGAACTACCTGAAATTTCACATATGATCAGGTAAACCCCTCTATTCAAAGTATATTATCAGCATTATCTTTTCATGATTACCTTTTTTATGCATTCGGTGTCATCATATCATTTCATTGCCAAGAAGCAAGAAAACCTCCTAAAACTTTCTGAATCTTGGCATACCATTAGTAAAACCCCCGTATTAGAAGTAAATCAACAGCATTATCTTTTAATAACGGCCATTTTTCAGACTTTCGGTGTCATCTTAGCATTGTCTTGCCAGGAAACAGCGAATGAAACAAGAAAAACTTCCAACATCTGTTATAAATTACTTCTGGACTTTCCGTCTCACAGCAAGAACTCCCAAGAAATTATTATTGAAGAAGACCTAAAGCTTTTGATTGAACATGTGAGAATTAGGAAAGTTCAGTTCTGGGCAGGAACATTTCCTGTGGACTCCTCTATGTTGTTCATGATAACTGTAATAATTTTAACATTACTTCTCATCATCTTGCAACTTGAATATAAGATTTAGTTACAACCGTTAGAGCATACAGATACAGATAATTTATTCATCGTTAAAGTTTTTTACACAATGGTACAAAATATATATTATTGAAACTCACAAAAACATTATAGAACTCACAAGAGAATATGAAAAACTCACAGACAATTTTTATATACATACAAACAGTGAGATACTCCTCTATTGTATAAAAAGTATTTACATTTAGGTAATTAAATAATGTTGTTTTGAAGGTATTAAAAATTTTTATCTCTCCAAAGATCTCATTGAAACGGTTATAACATAGAATGTCTTGGTATTTTGGAGAATTCTGTCCCACACTAATTAACAATTGATTGTTTAATATTTTCCTTTGTATTCTATCTGAAATCGGTTACGATGTATTTGGAAATTTCTTCCATCGCTGGTGAATAAACATTATTGTTGTTATTATTATTAATGGTTAATTTCATCCTGTTTGCAACAAAAAAAAGTTCGGTTACGGTCATGATATTTTGAACTTAAGTGATTTTTGTTGATTGTAAATTTCCCATGAATATAAATTGTCTTGAAGGAAGACTTTCATTTGAACCCCAGAGAACTGTATTTTCCTTGTTTACAATTAAGGAAAATAGAACTTTTCATTGAGCAATCAGTTTTCGCCATAGCGATACTGAAAAAAGTAAAATAAAAATTCCACCACTCACCATGTCTGATAATTTTCGAAGTACTTTTCATCAATTTTCCTGCATATTTTCTCGTTCTACAATCTGAAAAAAAAATTAAATTGTAATGGAGAACTTTCTACAGTGATAGAAGAGATAAGCTATTCAGTGCACCTCGGTTTGTTTCATTTTTGTACTTCCTCGACAAATGTCACAAGAGTCTTTCAGAATATATGTCGAAGAAAACCGGAAATATGACAAATTGATGAAAAAAACATGAGAATTTTTTAATTCTTAAGGCATTCTCGTATTTTGGTCTACACAACGTTCAAATGATTATCTCTATCATTTGTCATCTCTTTTTTGATAGGAAAATTATCATAAACGAAAAATTACTGATGATAATACATTTTCCTTCGGGAAATTTACTGTGAATTCATGAAGTATCTTATCGGGGTGAATAGAAAAGTTTACCTCCTACACTTTTATCAAGGTTGCCATCATTGTGCTAGAAATAGCAGGTTGAAAAGTGAAGACCTCGTCAATTCTCAGCTTGCATACATATCGACTTGTAGGGGGCGATAGATGGATTACGGAAAAACAGATATTGGAAAAAAACAAATTTTAAATTTTTGAATTGGTGCTTCTTGGATGGATGTCCCAATCTTTGGCAATCAGGAAGGATGAAGACTGTGTGAGAAAAATAAAAGATACGTTACGATGCACGCTGCAACTTAAAAATATAGTTGATACCTTCAACTCAATATTCACCATATCGATTTCCTCACTGCTCTTGTCCTATATGAGCAGTCTTATAGTTACAACTGCTGAGCTTTTTGAAAATTGCAACCTCCGGAAGATTCCGTTATTGGTTGCCAATTCTGGAGCTTTATTTTTCTATTGGGTGAGTTGAATATTGCTGAAATCATATAGAATTTTAGACTTTTCTTCTCATCAGATCTATATTAGATCAGATCAGATCGTGATATGATTCTTGCAGCAGTGTTTATGGGAAACTATTATTGTCAAATGTTTCTTTGCAGTTTTTGTAGGATGAATATGACGCCCAAAGATTCTTTGAATAAATAAAATATTTTCTTCCAAATTGAATCCACATGAAGTGCTTTCAATTTTCAGGTATGTCTAATGCGGATTCGTTCAAATTGTGGTGGTATTTCCAACAGTGTCGTATCTCTTGGCAAACTGAGTTTCAAGCTGTATATCGATATGCCTTCTAGAGTATTTATTCGGGAAGAAATTGACATAAAAAATACTCTGATGCTCATATACAAGGTTACGTCTACTGAAGAATGGGAAGTCAAGATTTTCAAAACAGTTAAATTGGATAGAATGATTGGATTCAAAATTATGTTGTTTTATTTTTTGTTTTTGGAAATAATTATATCAATCTATAAAAAGTACAATGTGTTTCATTTACGAATATCTACACTCCACTAGTAAGCTTGACCGAAATTATTGTCGTCAGCTTACTCTTCCACTTCAGCTAAACTGAACTCTCAGTTCGGATAATTCACTATGTACAACTTTCACTTCTAATAGGCTTCTGAAATGATACATTTCACAGATAGTCTATAGCGAGTAGTGAACAGATTGATCCCTAAAACTATATGCAGATCTGATTGAAGGTATCCTGAGATCGGTAATCTTCCAATTTAAACGCATTAAAAAATGTTTTGTTCAAATCTGTTTTTTCATCAAGCAGCTGTCGCTCCCCTGCGAACCACAACTCTCAAAAGTCAAAACTTGTGCGAGCTAAGGACACGCGTTGGACGATAGGAAGTGAAAATCGATCATTCGGCCTTGCGGTTCAAACCACCGGTCCGCACAGCGGTCGATTGGCTCAGTGGAGCTGACCACCCATGTGAACCCACCAGGCTACCGTCCTACTACTTTACTATCCCTTGTATCGCCTATACAGGGCTTTTCATGATGAGCGTTAATTAGCCGTTTCTGACAAACTGTTCAACGGATCAACCTGAAAATTTCACAGTATGCATAAATCAATATGACCTTTCCGCCTAAAATATTTCAGACGAAGCGGCGTTGTCGCTTCTACTCTAAAGTAGCGGCTTCTTTGATTTTTCGAATGGAACACCCCATATATAATATCATATTTTGATTCATTATCACTTTGTCAACAAATTCATATACTATTTTCCTATACCTATCTATTACCGTTTAGAAGATATGAATTAATTTCGATATTTTTTTTACCAAACATGAACTTTTATNTTATTGTTCCTGATCTATTGCGGCAGGAAAAAGTACAATAAAGCTATTGAAAATATTTTCAGGAATATTATCCTAATGATGGTTATATATTGAAGTTTATCAGAAGATAATTCAATTTCGAAAACTTGAGTGTCATCCACTGGGTGATACTATAATAAAAATGGTAAGCTTGTTACTACATACCTTTATTAATCTAGTCTCGATTTTATGAACCCTTTTTTCTGTTTTGTGAAATATCTTTTTGAAACCAAAACAGTTTCGATTTTATCAGAAAGAGATGATAATATTCCAAAAATGATTGCCCTCTCTACCACACTGAAATGAAATGAAAACAATTTATGATTTATTGACAAATAAAAAAAAGAAAATTACGGTTGCTCTAAAAGCACTTTCTTTCATTACTTATCGATTGATGTCGGCGATGAAAATTTCCGAATCAATAATTGAAAAACTATTCCGTAAGTTCCCATGAGAAGATGAATACCGTCTCTCAAGAACCGTTCAAAGTACATCTATGGGAGTCCATAAGAGCAGTGAAATTATTACAAATATTATCTGTATCGTTAGGGTTATCCATTCCAAACCTATATGTTTATGAAGGACTTTCAATATTCTACGTGATCTACAGTGTATTACTTTGTTTGGTACAAACTGTAACGTTGATTTTCAATATAGTCATAACAACTGGAAATCAGTACCATCTCCAGCCGTTGAGCACCAATATACTCCATACAGTGGCTTTGTTTCTATCAACAGCAACAAATATAATTTCTATAATCATGACGGTGACCCTGAAGAGAAGAAAGATGGTGAAATTAGCGAAAACTATCAGTACACTGGAAAAACAAATGCAACTGAAGTATCAAGAAACAATTATATACGATAACAACAAACTCATCACTAAGTTTCTGTTATTTCAGTCCTTTATCATCGGAATCAATTTGCATCAGTTGTATATTTATAGTGGTCTATTTAATTCTTCATTTTGGCATGTAGCTGTTTACTGTTTGTCCAAATCAGACGTGATGTCAATTTCGATTATTGTATCACAAGTGTATTTTTACTGTTCTTGCATCAAGAGGATAATACAATTCACACATGAGAATATGGTGAAGAAAATTCGACCAGTCAAGTCGACAAATTTTGTGGATCATGAACTGAAAGACATTTTCAGGATTGAAACCGATTTTTTCGTGAAAAAGTATGACATGATTTGTGATATTACAGATATGGTTGGAGATATTTTTGATACACAAATATTTTTCATTCTTATTTGCATAGTTATTGAAGTTCTCCATGGTATCAACAATTCACTTCGAGTTATACTGGGATCACAAATATTTGAACCAAACTCTGTGTCTTTGATTGTAATCAGTGGATTCAATATTCTGCAATACATAGTAAGTAAATAAAAGTTTGTATGTGAAAAGTAATAATTGCAAATTATTCATAAGTAACAAGCATCCAACAAAAAGATAAAGAACTAAAATTGTTTCGAAGAGTTAAATATCTGGGAGATCGGAGACTACGGAAAAATATGGGGGTTGAAACCAGATATGCCATATTGGTTATATTGACAATGGTGGTTAATTCATGATAACATAATTTATCTTTGACTTGGGAACTAAGCCAAACTAAGAAAGGTGCAAAGACATGATTGTTTAAAAATAATGAGTAGAATGAGAACCATACTAATGGCACCTTAACATCACGTAGTAACTGGTGAAGCCCAGGCGAAGCTCCTGGCTCACAGATACAGGCTTGTCTGGCAATGAGTAGTGCCATCAATACCACACCGTCAGCGGCCATGAATATCCTTCTAGATCTATCTCCTCTCCACATTTTTCTGGAGAGAGAGGCTAGATAGACTGCATATAGCCTTGTGCACATTGCTAATTGCACAAATCAATTTATTGCAGAGTGCAACAGACTGTTGGATGACACTGGAAATCACAACATTCCGGAAATGACCTCTGATTTTATGCCTCCAACTGTCAACTACAAACTGCTTTATGAAGTACTGTTCCCGAGTAGAAAGGACTGGATCCTACGGGAGAAGGAAATATTAAGAGCAGATAGTTGTTGGTTCACAGATGGATAAAAAAAACCGTTCGGTTCTGGTGCAGGTGTTTTCAGTCGCAGACCCAGGACAGAGATAGCAACCTGCCTAGGAGCCTATGCGACTGTATTTTAAGCGAAAATTCACGCAATTGAATTGTTTGAGGAGAGATTGAAAGAACCCTGCCTCATACAAAAGTTAATAAGAATATTTCCGGACAGTCAAACGACGTTTAAAGCTCTTGGCTCCTACGCAGCAACGTTTAAATTGGTAACAAATTGCCAAAAACGACTCTCCTCGATAGGAAGACGTAACATATTGTCTCTGATCTGGATTCCTGGCCATACTGGCTTGGAAGGCAATGGGGCTGACTCCCTTGCAAAGGAGGGTGCTGCAAGCAGCTTCATCGGACCAGAACCTATCATTGGCATCACTTTAGGCTCTGCCAAACAAAGATTGAACACCTAGATGGTAAGAAGATTTATTGATTTCTGGCAAAATTATCTAGGTTTGGCTCACTCCAAGGCCTTTATATTCGTTTAAAGCTTGATACCAAACAGTTGTTGGACTACAGTAGGGATGAACTACGATGCCCAACAGGCCTTCTTACAGGTCACTGTCATTTGAATTATTATATGCAGAGACTGGGACTGTCGGAAGACGGTGTGTGTTGCGTCTGTTTAGGAAATGATCAAACAGCAGAGCACATACTTTGTGCCTGCCCCGCTGGGGACCGAATCAGTTTTTTTAGAGTTCGACAGAGCCGTACTCTCACCATCTGACCTGAAAGACCACTCACCATATAAACTAATCGACTTCGTCAAGAAACTGGGTTTTTTTGGTCGAGTGTGAATAGGTGAGAGCCACAATAAACCTTGCAGATAGCGGTGGAGGGTTGAATAGACTCACTCACTTCGGACCTAACCTAACCTAAGTGGTATTCCAATTCATATTGGATTTTTCATCAAGCATCAGGGGTAGGAAATTTTTAAATATGTGGAAAAATTAAAATCAAATACGCTCCACATTGATGAACAGGCATTCTGAGAACATGCTTTACAAAAACAAAGCATGATCTCAAGCCAGATAGCGATCTTTCGCGCTCATCAGTGATAAATGGCTGAACCACAAATACACTTTTGTTAGTGAAATGTCTTTGAATGACGAGTCTGAGTAACAGAAGAGCAGAGGTGTTATAAGTTCCACATACAAATCCATGGTTTATCATGAAGTTATGACAAAAACACTTTTTCGAAACTTCAACACCATTTACTTCAAAACCCTGAATTGAACTACCTGAAATTTCACATATGATCAGGTAAACCCCTCTATTCAAAGTATATTATCAGCATTATCTTTTCATGATTACCTTTTTTATGCATTCGGTGTCATCATATCATTTCATTGCCAAGAAACAACTAATGAAGCAAGAAAACCTCCTAAAACTTCCTGAATCTTGGCATACCATTAGTAAAACCCCTGTATTAGAAGTAAATCAACAGCATTATCTTTTAATAATGGCCATTTTTCAGACTTTCGGTGTCATCTTAGCATTGTCTTGCCAGGAAACAGCGAATGAAGCAAGAAAAACTTCCAACATCTGTTATAAATTACTTCTGGACTTTCCGTCTCACAGCAAGAACTCCCAAGAAATTATTATTGAAGAAGACCTAAAGCTTTTGATTGAACATGTGAGAATTAGGAAAGTTCAGTTCTGGGCAGGAACATTTCCTGTGGACTCCTCTATGTTGTTCATGATAACTGTAATAATTTTAACATTACTTCTCATCATCTTGCAACTTGAATATAAGATTTAGTTACAACCGTTAGAGCATACAGATACAGATAATTTATTCATCGTTAAAGTTTTTTACACAATGGTACAAAATATATATTATTGAAACTCACAAAAACATTATAGAACTCACAAGAGAATATGAAAAACTCACAGACAATTTTTATATACATACAAACAGTGAGATACTCCTCTATTGTATAAAAAGTATTTACATTTAGGTAATTAAATAATGTTGTTTTGAAGGTATTAAAAATTTTTATCTCTCCAAAGATCTCATTGAAACGGTTATAACATAGAATGTCTTGGTATTTTGGAGAATTCTGTCCCACACTAATTAACAATTGATTGTTTAATATTTTCCTTTGTATTCTATCTGAAATCGGTTACGATGTATTTGGAAATTTCTTCCATCGCTGGTGAATAAACATTATTGTTGTTATTATTATTAATGGTTAATTTCATCCTGTTTGCAACAAAAAAAAGTTCGGTTACGGTCATGATATTTTGAACTTAAGTGATTTTTGTTGATTGTAAATTTCCCATGAATATAAATTGTCTTGAAGGAAGACTTTCATTTGAACCCCAGAGAACTGTATTTTCCTTGTTTACAATTAAGGAAAATAGAACTTTTCATTGAGCAATCAGTTTTCGCCATAGCGATACTGAAAAAAGTAAAATAAAAATTCCACCACTCACCATGTCTGATAATTTTCGAAGTACTTTTCATCAATTTTCCTGCATATTTTCTCGTTCTACAATCTGAAAAAAAAATTAAATTGTAATGGAGAACTTTCTACAGTGATAGAAGAGATAAGCTATTCAGTGCACCTCGGTTTGTTTCATTTTTGTACTTCCTCGACAAATGTCACAAGAGTCTTTCAGAATATATGTCGAAGAAAACCGGAAATATGACAAATTGATGAAAAAAACATGAGAATTTTTTAATTCTTAAGGCATTCTCGTATTTTGGTCTACACAACGTTCAAATGATTATCTCTATCATTTGTCATCTCTTTTTTGATAGGAAAATTATCATAAACGAAAAATTACTGATGATAATACATTTTCCTTCGGGAAATTTACTGTGAATTCATGAAGTATCTTATCGGGGTGAATAGAAAAGTTTACCTCCTACACTTTTATCAAGGTTGCCATCATTGTGCTAGAAATAGCAGGTTGAAAAGTGAAGACCTCGTCAATTCTCAGCTTGCATACATATCGACTTGTAGGGGGCGATAGATGGATTACGGAAAAACAGATATTGGAAAAAAACAAATTTTAAATTTTTTAGGTGGAGTGGCAAAGAATTTTGTGTTATAATCAATTTATTATATTGCTGAAATGCAATGTTTCGTGTGAGTATTCTTTATCACTGATTGAAATCTGAATATTCGATGGGGAATTGATTTCTGGATGTATCTGTTGAGAAAATCAATTGCCCGCATTGGATATTCCTGAAACTTTTGTAGAGTTCCAATTAGTACAAATGGACTCTTCCGATAATACGTGGTACCTACTACACATTTGCAACAAAAGTAGTTTGATTTTTGGGTTATACCTCCCCATCAGTTTGGTCAAAGAGAGTAAACGCAGTGTTGATGAAAATAGAAAAATTTATGGTATCTTCCTGTTCACGATATTGTGTACAAGTTTAGTATCTTCTCGAAACATCTACCAAAAACACGAAATACATGCAAATGTATTATTTTATTACATATCGTTGTGCTCATGCTTCGTCATAATATTAACCAGATATGCGAGATTTCAAGAAATTGCTATGTTTTTCAACTCGTTATCTACAATGAAAACCCCAGGATTGTTACAATTCCCCCAAGACAGGAAACAGCTGAAGACATTCATGAAACGCAATGCTGCTATTTTGTCGAAAATATCCATAATGTTGGTGATTCTTGAACTGAAAGTCTCTTGCATCTATATATTGAACGATGCAGGTACTTTTTTATCAATTTCCCAAATAATAATTGAATTAATGCTTTTTCTGGAGGCACTTCTTCTGACATACGTAACTGATTTGATTGTTTCTCTAACGAAACACTTGAAAACTTCCCTCGCCAAGCAATATTCAGATTATTATGAAGTACCTCCTGCTGAGTTTATTAAATCGGAAAGTGGTGAATTGGTGCTTCTTGGATGGATGTCCCAATCTTTGGCAATCAGGAAGGATGAAGACTGTGTGAGAAAAATAAAAGATACGTTACGATGCACGCTGCAACTTAAAAATATAGTTGATACCTTCAACTCAATATTCACCATATCGATTTCCTCACTGCTCTTGTCCTATATGAGCAGTCTTATAGTTACAACTGCTGAGCTTTTTGAAAATTGCAACCTCCGGAAGATTCCGTTATTGGTTGCCAATTCTGGAGCTTTATTTTTCTATTGGGTGAGTTGAATATTGCTGAAATCATATAGAATTTTAGACTTTTCTTCTCATCAGATCTATATTAGATCAGATCAGATCGTGATATGATTCTTGCAGCAGTGTTTATGGGAAACTATTATTGTCAAATGTTTCTTTGCAGTTTTTGTAGGATGAATATGACGCCCAAAGATTCTTTGAATAAATAAAATATTTTCTTCCAAATTGAATCCACATGAAGTGCTTTCAATTTTCAGGTATGTTTCATATATCTTATACACCACTGTAGGTAATGACAGAGGTCCTTAACTCAATCGAGTGCCTGAAATTTGTTTACCTGTGACCCACACGCTAACCGTACCCACACGGTATTTTGAAAACCGGTGAATAAACTAGAAGGAAAACTTGAGACTTTACCCTGAACGTCATTTTGGTCACATTTTCTAAAGGTCACTTTGGAAAAGTTGTATATGAAACTATTCGAAGCTACTATAAGTTCGATCTACAGTAAGGCATATGTGATAAGTATGTATCATGAAGTGGATTCTCGAGAAATATTATGTAACTGAGGACGAATGGGCTTTAAATTCACGATATAGGAAAACTTGAGACTACCCTGAACGTCATTTTTATCACATTTTCTGAAGAATGGAATACTAAAAAGGTCGCTTTGGAAAAGTTGTATATGAAACTATTCGAAGCTACTATAAGTTTGATCTACAGTAAGGCATATGTGATAAGTATGTATCATGAAGCGCATTCTCGAGAAATATTATGTAACTGAGGACGAATGGTCATTAAATTTATGATACAGAAAAACTCGAGACCTTACCCTGAACGTCATTTTGGTCATATTTTCTGAAGAACGGAATACTAAAAAGGTCACTTTGGAAAAGTTAAAAAGATTGAAGAGTTTGAACTGTTGTACAACCCATTTTATTACAGGCAAATAAGGTGATAGTAAAAATTAAGTGAAATTTGTGCTATTAAAAGAAAAATTGTTTATCTCATAAACTAACCACTTTAACCTACAAGTATTATACATTTTTGAAACCAGCTCAAAGAGGAGTATCCAAATTTAACATAAAAAATATGAGAAGTAATTTAAAAAAAAGGGATGATGCTAGGGGTGAGGGGGTGGCTTTTCAAGTAAGTTTAAATAAGCCATAATGCTTGCCCCTTCCAACATAAATTGAGGTGTTTTTGGATTTTTTCTAAATACCAGTATTACAAAAGTTATTAAAGGTGGATACTTTCATCTGAAAAGCACTGTATATGAAAGTATTCAAAGCCACTATAAGTTTGATCTACAGTGAGGCATATATGATGAAATATGTATCCTGAAGCGGATTCTTGAGAAATATTATGTTACTAAGGACGAATGGGCATTAAATTCACAATACAGGAAAACTCGTAAGTAACAAAACAAGCACATAACACTTTATTTGCAAATAAACACCACCTAGACCCCTTCAATCCGTATTATGGAAACACGATACTTTCATAAAAAAGCTCGTAACATGCAAAACAGCAGTCGAACAAAAACATTGTTATTCGCGATTTTTTTATACGAACCGAAAACGTGCTTTTCAACAAGGCCGAGAGCTCGTTTTGCTAATCCGGCCTGACTAATGGGTTTGGGTTCATTTCGTTTATATACATTATTTGTGGGGCCACCTTAATTCATTTTGAAGTTAAAGACAGCTTTATAGGCACGGTTTTGTTAGTATGGTGACTGTTACTCTGCCGGTGGTCGGTTACGTCGTGGTGGTCAGCCTGGTACTCGTAACGGGTGCTCCCACTTTTGATTTGGTAGGTCCATTTGGATTATTTATTGGTTGGACAGTGCTTCACACGTGGGCCTGCCTGCCCTGAGATACTTAAATAAGCTATTGATTGATATCGGGTGTATGTTGTTATCATCATAATTAAAAAAAAATTCAAAACATTTTCCAAAACACTTAATCTGTAATGTATTATATTTGGTAACAATTATATCAATGATTCAAATGACAAATTATTTGGAATGTTTCAATGTCTCAGTTAATTATTAAAAGCAGTTATATTACAGTTTTCAATTAACAATTATTTTTACTAATTAATTTTATGTACGATGCATCATTACACTGGTCTACAGTGGTTTTGTTGCCCTAGATATAAGATTGATTTTGGGTGTATTTATACTCACAATTCATGAAATTATCAATGGTTTTGTAAGATTTGCTCTCGTTTTCTTTTAAATATTTATTTTCATTTTACATTACAAAAATTCGAAAACAAGAAACAAAATAACAGATATATTTATAATCTCAGTTTTATTTGGAAAAAAATATGATACTTTGAAGTAAATAGAGAGGGAAATTTCGAAAACATGTTATATTTCCATGAAACGCCTTTTAAGAGCTTTTCTTTTATAATTTTTCAGAGGACAATC